TATCCAGAAAGCCAGGGAAAGCAAGATTGCATGTGACTAAAGACTAGATTAAGTATGAACCCTAGATAAGGATTTTTTGTTTGTTCTGTTCACTGCTGTCCCACCAAGAAGCTAGAACAGTTTCTAGAACTTATAGTTTCTAAGCAGAAATGAGGTAGGGAGAAGAGGGAAGCTTGTTGTGGTTATGTCTGTCGAGTTGGTTCAAACTCATACTGTACAGGGTTTCAAAGGAGCAGCTGGTGGGTTTGAACCGCCAACCTTGTAGTTAGGAGTCTAGTGTTTATCCTACAGCATCACACCAGGACTCCTTTATAAATTATTTAGGAATAAAATCTCTTAAAATAAAAAAAATTTGAAGGCTTTCAAGCCCCCAGGACACTTAAGATCCTATGTACAGCTAACTCTGTGGTCTTGGGTAAATTACAAGGTCACCTGGCCAATAAGTTCACCAACTTATTAGGTTTAACCTAAGTGTCTAAGTTATCTGACTGTAAACTGTAAAATATAGCTGACATTTTCTAAAGATTATGTGTAAAGCACTGAATTCAGTATGTGACACAGGGTAAGCTATTTAAAAAAAGAAAAAGTATCATACCCCTTCGGTTGGCAGTTCCAATAACCCAAAAATCTTTTAATAACTAAGAAGCAAACATTTGGTCTAACAAAGAAACAAATGTGATGGCCCTAACTAAGGCATATTTGAGCTGAACCACTTGCCTAGTTTAGCCATAAGGGGAAAAGAATCTCTAAATCTGTTCTTGTGGCTTGATCTACATTCATTCAAGGAAACTGAATATGGGGGTCCTTGCACAAAAAGATGCTCTTCTTTGAACTATGGCATCCAATTGTTTCTGGCTCCCTCTGATTTTCCAGAGACTATTAAAGGCCCTAGAACTAAATCTACCTTGGTGTCATCTGTGAGAAAAGCTCTAGGTTCTTTAATTTACAGGGAATCTCAGAGATTGAGTTTAATATTCACTTTTTTCAGCTAAGGAAAATTAAAGGCCAGAGATGTTAAGTAATTTGACCAAGACCACAGAGTTAGCTGAAGACAGCACTAAGACTAGTCTCCTGATCTGGCTACAGTTAAGTGAAAACAAACTCCTGCCCCAATGAGGTACAACAGTACAAATCCAAATTCAGAGGATTCATAATCAATACGGTTCTAGTGATGTAATGACCTAAATGATATTCCATAACATTGCCCAGAAATGCCAGATATAAAAATTAGCTGTTCATGAGATCTAAAGCCCTTAAAAAACAAAAATGAACAGAAAACTCCACTGAATTCACTCTACTCAATTCTAGCTTTCACTTTTATATTACTTAAAGCCTGGTGAGAAAAAAAACAAACAATTTTTTTCATGAATATGGTACTGTACTCTTGGCTTTTTAAAGACAGGGCCATGAGGGATTTTTCCAACAGAGGTCCTTCTCTGGATGAAATACAAACCCCCAGATATGCTCAGGTTTGGCTGTTTTCTTTGTGGGACTTTCATTCTTCTGGCCTTCAGAGGCTAGGAATTTTCTACTTGTTTGTTGGCATTCTCTTCCAAGTATTTTGTAAAATGACTGACCATTACTTAACTGGTAAACTTCAACCCTAGGTGAAGGAGGCTCTGACTAGACTGATACTCTGTACTTCCATCTTCTCATTCACTATTCTTCCTAGTAGATTTTTCTAACTCTCACAATAAATGACCCATTGTTCACTATTTCAGAAAGAAATGAAACAGATTTACAAGTGGAGACAAAAGTAATTCTTGCCAATGAAAAAAAGTTCTATCTTTTTTTGATTAGAGTTCAGAACCAAAGGAATTTTCCTGAACCACAAATGCCACCTGGTGGACAGCAAGATATATTGTTATGGACTGAACTGTGTCCCAAAACAGTATGTATTACAAACCTGTGTGCCTAGGGTTATAAGCCTATTTGGAAATGGATTATCTTTGTTATGTTAATGAGACAGGATTGCTGTTAGTCTGAACCTGTTTCCAAAGGTAACAGGTGAGTTTGAACTGCTGACCTTGTGGGTAGCAGCCCAGTGCTACAGTGCCACACCTGGGCTCAATGAGACAGGATTAATATAGGTTATATCTTAAGCCAATCTCTTTTGAGATCTAAAAGAGATTAAATGTAAACTAGCAATCACAGATGAGAAAAGAGAGGTGCCAAGATACATGGAGATCTCTAAGGAATAAGGAAGCAGAAACTGAAGAGATGTGGACATTCTTCCGGAGCAAATAAAGAAGGCTTTCCCCAAGAGGTGGCACCATAAATTTGGGCTTCTAGCCCCCTAAACTCTGAGGAAATAAATTTGTTAGTTAAGGTCACCCACTTGTGGAATTTCTATTCTAGCAGTACTAGAGAACTAAGATAGAATTTGGTACTGAAAGAGTGTGGAATGCTGCTCTGATACCCAAAATGTGGATGCAATTTTGGAATTAGGTAATGGGTGTTGTTGTTATGTGCTGTGGAGTCGGTTCTGACTCCTAACGACCCTGTACAGGGTTTCCGAGGCTGTAAATCTTTACTTTTATGGGAGCAGAAAGCCTCATCTTTCTTCCACAAACAGCTGGTAGTTTTGAACTGCTGACCTTGCAGTTTGCAGCCCAGTCTGTAACCACTATGCTACCAGAGCTCCTAAGTAATGGGTAGAGGCTGAAAAAGTTTTCAGGTGCCTAATAAAAAAACTTGGGAGTCCTGGTGTGATGTAGGACAAGCAATGGACTGCTAACCATTTAACTGGTGGTTCAAACTCATCAGCTACTACTTGGAAACCCTTTATAGGGTCACTATGAGTTGTAACCTACTCAAATGGCACTTAACACAACAGTAGTGAAAGTCAAGATTGTCTTGGGAGACTGCTGGGAGAATTATGGCTGTCAAAGGCCATTCTGGTGAGGATTCATAAAGTGAGGAGAACTACAATGTCCTTTAGAAAATACATATGGAGCCAGCAACAGAACGTTGCCAAGAAGTGTGTTGTATGTGCTTCCAGTGAGATTTTAAAAAGAAAATGATGAACATGTGATTGGTCGGTGGGGGAAGGACAATGATTTTTATGCAGCAGCAAATAGCTTGTCTGAATTACATTAAAATGTTTGATGGAAAGTAGAACTTGTAAGTGATGAAACTGGGTATCTGGAGGATGAGATTTTTTTAGTGAGATCTTAAAGGGGCTACATGATTTCTCATTGTTGCTTATAGGAAAAGGGTAAAGAGCTGGACTTAAAATGAACTGTACAAAATGGAAACCAAACTTAAAAATTTGGAGAATTGTATTGTACAAACTAAGGACATATGTCCTAGAATTTCTAAGGGACATGCCTATGTTTTTTTCTGTTTGTTTGGAGATTAAGCCCATTTAACTTGTGGTTCAAACTCATCAGCTGCTACTTGGAAATCCTAAATATTTTGTTTGGAGACTAAGACTGATGGATCTAAGCAAGTACTACAGCAGAAAACCCATCAGCTTAGACTGAAAGAGACAAGAAAGAAATGAAAGAACACTGTCTGCCTCTTAGGATTCTATAGGCAGTAAACAAATCAAAGGAGCTATATATGTTGACCTCCAAGAAAAGGACCATATCTGGAGCAGCCTGCAGATGAGCAGGACTGCAGGAAATAGCATTGGAAACAGAGTCTTCTAGTTTCAAGAACTCAGTTTTGGAGTGTAGGGCTGCTAAGATGTGCCAGGGAGATGGACCTGCCACCCAAAGCTGAAGGTCCTAAGCTGCCATGCCCAAGAAACAGAACAGGGCCTGCCAGGGATGGGGCAGGGGGGAGAGATAGGGTCACCACTCAGATGGACTAGGAGAATGGGGCCATCCAAAATTGTGGGGAGCAGTTGCCATTCCAGTGAGTAGGGTCACTGTCTAGCTGTTCCCAGAATAAGGGATTCTTTTCAAGACTTGAGAGCTAATGTTCTGCTTAGTTTTGGACTTGCTTGCCACCTGCTATCTCTTCTTTCTTCAAATTTTTCCTCCAAAATTTCTTTCATTTTGCTTACCTTGTTTGTGACTGTTCCACCAGTGTATTTTGGAAGCAGATAACCTATAGTCTAGATTTCATAGGTTCTTAGATGAAGAATTGGAATATGCGTGATGTCTTATCCATATTTAATTTAGACAATTCAGAATATCAGATTTTGGACTTGGAATTGATTTAAGACTTTTGGGATGATGTGATGGGTGACTGTGCATTACATGTGGCAAGGGCATGAACTTTGAAGGGGCTAGAGGGTAGAATGTGTAGACTGAATTTTTGTCCCCCAAAATATGTTGCAAATGCTAATCTCTATGCATTGGATTGTAATCTCATTTGGAAATGAATTGTCTTTGTTAAATTAATGAGACAGGATTAGTACAAGGTATATCTTGAGTCAACCTCCTTTGAGATATGAGAGATTAAATGCAAGCTACA